CTTTCTCTGGCCTCTTGAATGGCGATTTCTTACATCGGAAGTCAAAGCGGTTTCTCGGCCACGCTCAATCAGAACTCGTTCCACCGACCAGGCCCCCCACCAGCCCATGAAGAGGGTGTGAAGAAAGTATGATTTAAATGTTTCCTGCCAGTCAACTTTGTTGCATTCAATAACGAGGCCCCCTTACACTGAAACAAGTCAGCAGCCGAGTCACGATGACATGCTCTGTTTGTAGCCCCAGGAAGCGCGACGCGGATACGAACGGAACTGGTTATAGGGCAGAAAAAGCCTGTATTTCACACGTTTTTCTCGAATCGTTCTCAATTATTCATCGCTTGGAGAGTCTCATGACGTTTCATCTTCGGAAGACCGGTTTCACGCTCGTCGAGCTGCTGGTGGTCATCGCCATTATCGGCATTCTCATTGCTCTTTTGTTGCCTGCGGTTCAACAAGCTCGTGAAGCCGCACGACGCATGCAGTGCACCAATAACTTCAAGCAAATTGGCTTGGCTCTGCACAACTATCACGATACCCACGGTAATTTTCCGTATGGTTTTCGCCTGGGAAACATTGGCAATCGCGACTGCTGGTTCCAGCGTCTGCTTCCATTTGTGGAACAGACGGCCCTGCAGGATGTTTACGAAGAATGTATCCGCACGCCGTCAGCCGATGGTGGCAACTTAAGCGGCGGTGTTTCGTACGTTTATACGATTCCGTCAAAGTTCCAAGGCAGCCTGCTCGGTGGTGCGGTGATCGACATGTTCAATTGCCCTTCCGAGCCTAACAATCCAGCCTATTGCCGCGGCAATCAGGTCGGTAACGACGTCCTGTGTAACGGAAGCGATTTCTTCAAGCGAACGGCGAATCCTCCGAACAACACCAAGGGGATGTTCTACTACGAATCCAGCACCGGTTTTAACAACCTGACCGACGGTAGCTCGAACACGGCAATGGGTAGCGAAGCAATCATCCGTGGAGCGAACCGCGCTGGACATATCTACGATGCCGGTGGTTACTGGCAAGGCGCCAATCATGGCGAAGGTTTCTTCTCGACACAGCAAGCCCCGAATACAACGCTGCCAGACTTGATCGTACGTAGCGACACCAACGACAACGAATGCACCAACGGTCAATGGGATCAAATCGCTCCGTGTGAAGACGTTGGCTACGACGACAACAACTCTAGTGGCGGCTACCGCAACTCGGCACGCAGCTACCATCCAGGCGGCGTGAATGTTGTGCTGGGCGACGCATCGGTTCGTTTCATTCCGGAAACGATCAACTTGGAAACGTGGCGAAACCTGGGCTCGACCAGCGACGGTCAGGTCTTAGGAAGCTTCTAGCGGCACGCGGTATGTAAATGGACAACCAGCTTTGCCGAGATCTGGAGTTCCCGTCTCGGCAAGGCTTGGTTTCATAGCCAGGCAAACGTTACACCTTCTAACACGAGACTTACCATGAACCGACTCCTCCCAAATCTTTCCTGCACCGCGGTGATGTTTTCTTTGGCGTTAGCCGTTTCGTTGATCGGTGGTTGCTCGAATGGAAGCGCCGACGGTACCGTTGCTGTCTCCGGTAATATCACCTTCGACGGACAGCCATTGTCGAGCGGTAAGATCATCCTCGTGCCAACGGAACCAGGCGGACGTCCTTACGCGGGATCGATCCATGATGGACATTTCCAGATGTATGCGTCGCCTGGACAGAAGGTCGTTCGGATCACATCGACACGCTACGAAGCACCTCAAGGCCTTTCCAAGAAGGCGAAGACCTCCATGGAAGTGGGCATGACGCAAACAATTCCTGTGCAGTTCATTCCGAAACGTTACAACCAGCAGTCGGAGCTGAAGATCGAAATCGACGAAGCAGGCAATGGCGACTTGGCGTGGGACTTGAAAAACTAGCAAGCCCTCGTTCATCGCGATAACGACCAACACGTAAAAGAAGAAATCAAGCCATGGGCCATTCCACCACTCGACGCCATTTTCTGGGCACTTCGTTAGGACTCACGCTCGGGGCCGCCGCAACGACGGCAGAAGCACGACCGTTTGCTGCCACCCCGCTCGAGAAACCGCGCGAAGCACTGCGAATATTGCACCTGACCGATATCCACATTCGCCCGGAAGTTGAAGCACCGCAGCGCTGCGAAAGATTGCTCGCCGCTGCGATTGCTCAGTCTGGTGAGATCGACTTGGTGCTCAATGGCGGCGATTCGATTTATGCGGCCGATTACGGCGACATCAGCCGGGAACGCGTGCTTGAACAGTGGAAGCTCTGGGACGAGGTAGTCGCGAAACCGTTGAGCCCATGGCGAATGCTTTCCGCACTAGGCAATCACGACATGTGGTGGGCAGCACCCGACAAGCAAGACCCAATGTACGGCAAGGACTACGTCCTGAAACGGCTCCATCAAGAGTCGCGATACTTAAGTATTGTCGAAGGAGGCTGGTTGATTGTCGTACTCGATTGCAACAACTCAGGCCTTCTCGATGAAGAGCAACTCGCCTGGCTACATGCCCAAGCCAACCAGCATTCCGAACTGCCGATGCTGATCATGAGCCATCAGCCGATTTGCATGGCTCAGCAATGGATCGGCAGCGGGATGTCTCAGCGGCAACATCAGATGGTCGATCCGTTAGTCGACAAGCGATTGAGTGCCCGACCGGTTTATTTTCTTTCAGGTCACGAGCACGTGATCGATACGCTTTCGTACGCCAACGTAAGCTTCCTGTGCAATGGCGCGTTCAGCGGCGCGTGGTGGCAGTACGAACTCGTCAAGCCAGGCCACTATGAAGGAAACAACAGCGTTTCCGGAACACCGATGGGCTTCGCAACGATCGATTTGAACCGAGACGGGACGTTGATCAACAGCTATGTCGATATGACCGACAGCCAGGATGGCAAGCTTCTCGAACCCTTTGCGTAGCCGCAAGAATTCCAGAGAACCTGCCTCGGTGCTTTGAAATGCAAACGCATCCTGACAATCAGGGTGCGTTTTCTAATGCGCGCTGACGAACGTGCTTAGTTCTCGCTGAACGAGATCGATGCCGCGGATGCTTCGCGACCTACGGGATCTCGCATGAACTGTTGGTAGCATTCGCGACAAAGACGAAAGTCGCGGGGCGACTGATCTTCGTGTAGCGTGGGGTCTTCGATCGGATAAACCTGTTCGAGCGTATCGGCGAGCACCGACAGGTTGTCTCGGTCGGTATCGTCGTAGTCGACTTCATCGAAGTAAGGCTCAATCTCGAGAAACGCAGTGACACGAACTACAAAGCACGGATCACTGCTTTTGTCAAAAACTTGCTGGCAGCACTGGCAAGTAAATTGACTCATCAGATAGGTCCTTCCTTTTTCACTGGATAAGGCCGCAACGGTCGCGGCGAGTAAGCAGTTTTTCATCCTAACCTTGGCCAACAATGCGAAG